GCTACTGCACATGGCAACAGGGTTCCATCACTACGATGTGACTCAACCACATCTATGCAACATGAAACCATTCTGCTGCATTAAATGTCATTTTATCACTGCGTTTATCATTGTCTTATTTGAAGTGCGTTCTATCTAATTATCTTGTTTTAAGAGTAAAAACACTCCTTTGATCGGCAAATCGACCTGATTTACCTACAAACACTTAACTGAAGACATTTTTAGTTCTATGTAGGCCGTGTTTGCGGCGTAGCTCTGTTACGTGATGATGTAACCTGACCTGGAGCTGCCTCTCGGTTTCTGGACCCGGCTTGTTCTGGCTCAGCAGCTTGCTCTTGTAGGCGGCCTTGTAGACCCTCAGGTTCTCCCTGTGGCGTTTGATTTTGGACCAGGACCACATGTGGCTGACCCGCCTGATGTGCACTTCCATGATGCTGTTGAAGGCGTACCTCCACCTGAATGAAACAGCAGACGGGAATCTCTGAGCCGCCAGTTTTTCTCTCCAATCGAAGCAGAACTGTCCTCTCCTCTCATCAAACATCGAAGTGAGTGACCAGAGAGCAGCAAACTGACCAGAGATTGCTGCTTTTATGGACGGGAACGTCTGGCCTGAACTTTCTGTAGGGGGCGTTCTTCGCCATCAGATCGATGGACTCCAGTACGTCCACCATGCTGAGGTACTGTGGAGAACACACAGTCAGAGTCCGTCTCCATCCGTCTCCGCCCCCCCAGGTCTGGCCCTACCTGTGGTTTGGTCAGCTCGATGCCGATGTTCTGCACCTCCAGCTGAAGGTTCGCCTTCGGAGACTTCAGCTCCATCTCTGCATTCGGGTTGATGCACATTTTAGCCGAAGCAAAGAGCGGCTTGAAGACTGCAGAGCGAGAAGAGGGGAGGTCAGACAGGAAGCAGAAACTATTGAACATGTTATGATCGTTCATCAATATGGAGGGGCGGAGCCTAAAGCAGCCGCTCCTGCTCCAGCAGAGGAGGAAGCCATGTCTCCTCTGCCTTTCACTGGGAGCATCGCTGTCGACCTCAAAGAGAAGATGAGCAGCAGAGGAACCTGAACCTGATGGAGAGCCTGGCGCTGCCACCTGTTATGTGCGTCGGGCACATTAGTTATTTATTTATTATTATTTTTCCTTCTAGTGTTGCATAGATCTTAGTTGAATCACTTACTTTTCAGAATCTTGATTATTCTTTTTCTTTTGTACATCGATGACGTTAATTTGTGGGATATTGGTCCGCCTATAAGTAGGCTGGGTTTCCACCTTCCAGCCTTCGGAGCGATCCACCGCCACAGAGAGCGCGTCCTGACGCCATGCGCACGTCTCCCGTCTTTGCAGGCCGCCGCTGACCTCTCCAGCCTGCCATGCGGTACTTTTGTTCGTTAGCTTTTGTTTTTTGCAGATTTTTTGTAACTTTGACCTGGCGGGACGGGTTGTCCTGTTTTCGTTCTTTTTTATTTTTATTACAGTTGTTAACCGTTAGTTCGTTGCTAGCGGAGGCTTCGACGGCCCTATATAGGATTGGCCCTCTGCTGTAACGTTTTGTTTCTTTGGATCG